TCACGAAAACAGCGAATCATAGTATCACAAGAGGGTGCACTTCGGTTAGACAATAGAGGGCGCTATTAAACATGGCAACGAAACGTTCGGCAGTTAAATTCGCTATACCGAACTACCGCTGTAGCGAACATTTAGCATGGACCCCGTCTTGTTCGTTATAGCGGCATTCCACTGTATAATCTATTTTACAAAGCAAGCTCTTCAAAGTCTGTTTTCTCTATAGTTACTCTTATTATTACAGTACAATTCCAAAGAAGACACAGACAGATGCTGCTGTCCATTACAAACCTCCTTGAGAGATTTCAAAAGTGTTTTGGCTCATATTTTAAATTCCACTAGTGCACAGTGTGACTAACTGCTCCTCATTTTGGTAATTTATGCCCAAGTTCAGCAACAGTTGGACGACTCCTGATCAAGTTTGCCTGGTATCCAGACTGCAGTTTAGGTATAGGTTGCCAGGGAAAATTGACCAACAGTTAACAAATGGTCGCCGATTCAACTTAGCCCATGTCAGGGGCGTGCATTCCCGCTTACCTGTGTTGTTGCGGCCACACCCCTGACTGCTCCCGTCAGGCTCTGCAGGGAGTTGGCCGTCTCCCTCGCGGCCATGCCGGTGTAGGTCTCGTTGGCTTGAGAGGCGGCAGTCAGTAGCTGGGCCATGGAAGCGCCCACATTCTTGGACGTGGTGCCCAGCTGAGTGGCACAGGATTCCGGCTGAGGAAGAAGGGATGCAGATAATTTAGTTCAATTGGATTGAGTGAAGATTTGGAGATATCATAAGCATGAACACAGGACCGTTGACAGCATAACTGAAGCATGGCTTCCTTGGCCAGTGATAAGCCTAAGTAATTCTTACTTTCTTTGTTGGGGCACGATTCGGAACAACAGTTTGGACGTTTGAAGTCAGGTTTGGTGGCAAACTTATATGTATTTACTACAATCACTGCACGAGATCAGATCAGTTCATCATGTTTTTTGTATGTTTTTCCTGTGCAAACAATCCACGTAAGCAAGGTTTTGGTATAATGTCATTACATTTCACCAGTACATGTATATGAATAAAGTGAATTGGGTCAAACCTTTTAAAGCATTTTTCTCTGACTTGTACATCCAGAGTATCCTTGTGTGTTAGTTCATAAAAATTAAAATCTTGAAATCACAAGTCAGTGTTCAAAGTGCAAGTGCACACTTTCATGTCAGTTTGACAAACCAAAACTACTCATTTCGTGAATTTTACCGAAACAGCACTTGTGTGTTAGCAAGTAAAAGGCATACTCAAATTAGTGACGGAGACAGGGTTCAAAGAGCGGAAGGAGGACCACTTGGAGGTTCTTACTCACCGTTTCTCCAGGCAGGGGAGTGAGCTTGTTGTTATCCGCCGTCAGCCTAATCTCATCCAGTTGGTCCTCCAATGCTTTGATCATGTCCAAGGCATTATCAATCTCTTGTGCACCGCATGCCTCTTGTGCCTGTAGTTGAAACAGGAAAAGCACAACTTGTTAGACACTTGTTGAGAAATGGCACCCCAATTACACCTCTCAAGAAACCTCGACAATACAAAGGAACACAATGAAACCAGACTTAAAAAAAAAAAATCCAACATATCAACAAGAGACCAAGTTTCCAACAGCTCCACAAAACAACATCAGACGTGAGAAAAATTCAAAGGAAACGTAACAGTACTAAGCGACTAAACAATCTCCATCTCGGCTTATCTGAATCTGTACCATAGATGGTTTGAACCACAGTGACATGTGGCTGATGTGGAAAAATCTATGGTACAGCTTATGGAAGTAAAATGAGCACACTGCAACCAGTACAACCAACAAGAGCAAGTACTTTATTGACAATTTTACACAACTAGCCAAGTTGTTTTGAGTAATAATTTTTCAGGGACATAATGCAGAGAAATGATGAATGACCTGTGAGGCCTGTTAAGTATCTTTTAAGAAACACATCACTGTCATTCAAATTCCATATAGCTGTTGCTTCTCTTTCATCTAATCATAAACATGAATCAACTAGATCCTTCAAAATCTACGAGATGCTTTATTGGATTTTGAGGGATTGGGGAAGGTAGAGCCTAGTCTCTACAAATTTGCATTGGGCTTGGTATCCTTGAATTGCCATTTAGTGGGGCCGCTTTTGAGAGATGGGACATGAAGAAAGGTTCTCTAAAAGTGTTCGTTGTTTTGTTATGAAGTAGCAAACATTAGTATCAAGTAATTTGAATGCCTAGCTTGATGATTTATTTGAGAAAAAACTATGCAATTAAAAGTAAACTTCATTTTTTTTTTAATCCTTTGGGTCCTTCTCACCTTGTTGGCAGCTGATCGGAGATCTGTCAGGGCTGTGGCCATGTTCTTTGTGCAATTGGCCAACTGCAATGCGGCAGCCTTGTCTTCCACGGTTGGGATGGCAGCCCGGCTGGCTGAGATCAGATCAGTACCCGGCTGCAAAGAAGCAAATGAGGAAGTTGACTATTGAGGAAACAGACCTTCATCGAGCAGTGTGCGATAAATATAGAAGTTTCCTATCTGCTCCGAGCAGGAACAAAAGAGGGCGTGTTTTGAAATGAAATTGACAGTCCTTTGGTACTCACGCAATGCATACCTGTGAAGGTTTATTCGCGTTTGACGCGGAGCAAGCCCAGTACGCGCGATGATTTTAGTCAAGAATGTGTGGTCTTCGCGCGCACGCCCAGCATGTACTCGAACCCAGTTGGAAAACTAAGTACCATCTGTCTTTCTTTCGCCAATGAGGGCGCACTTCAGCTCAGCCCGAATTAGCAGCATTCAATTCTACTCGGGTTACATTCATATGCATGGAGTACAATTATACTGTTGCAATTGGCCCATCACTAACAAAATAAATGTGAGAGTGTTTTTAACTGTCACTCCCTATAAAGCTCTGTGATTCTACATATTTTGGATACCAAGGATTGTATTCTTTCCTTTTGCATCCAGCACCTGGGTTACTGCTTGCTCAGCAAATGAACAGTTGAAGTATCTGGGATTTGAGGTCTAAGTGTGTGTAATACATGTAAGGCATCAATAAACTGAACGCTTTCATGGCTGTTGAAGCTAACCCCCTATTCTTCCACTTACATTTTAACGAAACAACACACGACACCGTTCTCTGTGCGCTGGTATATTACGTAAGTATCCCTTCTACATCCAGTGGAGTTTTCATTTAGGTGTCTAGCGCCGGTCTAGGACTTCACTGAATATTTAATACCACAGAAATGCAGAAGTGTACCTGGATGAAATGCTGACTGGCATTGATCAGACCCAGTTGTACGCCGAGATTGTCAGGCTGCTGCAGGTAATCACGCACTCCTTGCACCAGCTTAGGGATATGTTCAGCCACAATCTGTCACAAAACATGACGGTAGCATTCGTAATATATCAACGCGATACAATAATAACATATATCATACATACCTCTAGCTGTATAGCAGGCCCATTGACTTGCATGCAACCACTACAGTGATTTGCAGGCTTCCGAAAAGCAAAAAAGTATTGGTTATGTTTTAAGTTATGTTTTAAGAAAGGCTATGATTTTTTAAACGACATGCATTTTATAATTTTCATAGCAGGTACAACTGCGGCATATATGCTACGGATATGATAGATTCCTCATAAAAAGAGAGATGTTTACAGTTTTCTGTCAGAGAGGAAATCTCAACAAGCACAAATTTTCTAAAGACTGTTGGTGACGCAGTTATCTAGAAGAACCGAAGCCGCACAGACATATTTTTAATATCACAGGCAAAGAGTCTAACCTTGCATTCGTCTATCATGTGCTGCTGCGTGCTGGGGTTCTTGGTGGAGTCTTTGGCCCCGTTGGCAGCGGCGATGGTCTGGGTGGATGCCGCGGCGGCCTGCTTGGCAGCATTCTGCACATCGAAGTAAATCCAAGCCAAAATGTACAAACTGGTGATGCATTCCTTGTAAGTTACAGAAAGACTCCAAGCCAAAATGTACAAACTGGTGATGCATTCCTTGTAAGTTACAGAAAGACTCCTAGCCAAAATATACAAACTGGTGATGCATTCCTTATAAGTTACGGAAAGACTAGTGATTCCTCTGCGACTTACAACCACACCAATGGCATTCCTCCAATCTACAAAATACCTTAATCTTAGACCGTGAATCTAGGCGGAATGAGCATGGAGTAAAGGAGGCAATATATAAGAAAATACACTGCACTAACGAGCAAAAGGCTGGTGATGACGGTTCCAACATTCTAACAGATATTGGTTACATGTGCTCGGTATGCATAAAGTTGTCTGAACATTGTGCAAGTGGTACAATATGTTATCGCTTGTTAGCACAAGGAACCCCAGACTTGTGCTTTACCCACCTCCAATCGCTGCATGATCTTCTTCTTGAGGGCGTTGTTGGCGGCGGCGTTGGTGGCCGTGCGCAGGTCCTCTGCAGCCTGCTTCAGCTTCTGCTGCTGAGCCTCGTCGTGGGGGCTACTGGCACAGGCCTTGGCCGCCTCCACCATCTTGCCCGTGGCATCTGCCAGCTGCTTGGCGGCATTCAGGAGGCGTTTCTGCGAGTCACTCTCTGAGACGGCTTCGGCGTCACCTTTGATTGCATTGACAAGGTGTGACGTAGCCTGAAACAGAAAGAAATTTTCACAAAACTGGCTTTTACCGATTTGCAAAGTATTGCACTCCCTTCATGTCACAAAGAAATGTCTCCAAAGCCTCCTCCCAACTTCTCAACAAATATACACACTTCAAACGATGTTCTTTTTTAGAAACGTTCTTCTCAGCTATAAAATACCAATCAGAAATCCTTCATCAATCCTTTCACGCAAAGGCAAAAATGCTCAAAGCTTGTTACTAAAGTAGTTAAGAAAGGCAGAAGCAGTAAGTTTCCCAACTGAAGGAAACATTTCTATAATTTTTGCTTTGCTGTGTCATGTCAATAATGCCAATTTTTCCATCCCAGAGGAGAATTGGAAGGATGGTGCTTTCTGCATCATATGCTTTGGCAAAAGATCAATTTGGTAAGCCCCAACCATTGTGCACTGTTGGCAATTAACATGAGCTCATCTCTGATGACAACTTCCATGCTAAAGCTGCACATATCATAGGTACTGGCTCACATCACAGACTTCTGTGAAAGCATGCCAGACATACACTATGGCTTGGATTGGTTAGAATATCAAGAGGGTGAGGGCTGAACTGACTGTTCTAATCAACTCGGGAAGATTTCTTAAGATTGACCGCCACACTGACCATGGCGAGAATCTTGGCTTGCTTGACCATCTCGGCGGCATTGCCCACACTGCTGAATAGCTTCTCTGTAGCCGTCATAATCTTATCACAGGCGTCATCGTACAGGGTGGTCGGACGGCCAGCAGCCGCTGTGCCTTGCTTTACATGCTGCAGGAGGTCGTTCAGGGCTTTAGTGACCGCTGTGGCTGCCTCGCCAAGATCACGCAAGAGGTTCTCATCCTCAGTAGCATTCTATAGGGAAAAAATCAAGCGATGTCAACAACTGGACTATAGTAATACAAATATAACATGGTTGGAGGACGGATTATCGATAAGGTACTGGAAACTGACGAACTAGTTAAAGCCCTGGAAACTACCTTCCATTAATTATCAATACAATCAACTGTTTCTGCCTCGAAAGAAAACCTACTTTCAACCTTTTTTCAAAGAATCTACAAGGATTGCAAATATCAGGAACGTCTCATTCATCTGACTAGAAAATCACTATTGAAAAATTGTAAAAATCCAATATTGACCTACGTACTGAAGTCTTACCAAATCTTCGAAAACAACTCATCCTCAACTCAGACTTTACATTTTTCGAATGATCATACCCTGTCTGTAAAGTTTTTGCATACCAACCGACACTGTAATAATTTGTCTATCTACGCTCTACCTATGAAATAATTTCTGGTATGTAGAGCCAAACTGTCATGCCATCTTCACATCCCTTTGAATAGCTTCAAGTAAATTTTTTTTTTCAATTTGAGCTCCATGCGAGTACATGCATAATGGACCAATAGTCACTGACCTTAGAGGAGTCCACCACAGCTTCAACAGACTTAGCCACCAGCTTGGCTGCCTCTACCAGCTGTTCCTGGCAGGCCGGACTGCTGATGGTTGGAGCTACGACCTACATGTACGGGCAAACAATAAATGAAAGGCTGACAGGTGTACCAAATGTAGGAAGCGAAGGCCACCATGTTCAGATTGTTTCTCATTCCCAGGTTCCATTCTCTCTTTGAAAAAAAAAAGAGAATTTACAATCGCAGTCAATGACAGCACTTTTGCAAACAAAGCGATCTGTTTCTATCCCCACTGTGTATAAACGAGCAAATCTTCCAAAACTTAGACGGTGTGAATAAGTACAAAAATAGAAAGTGAAGTGAAGGATGCTTTGGTTATACAAATCAAAACCCGCGTACCCACGGGATGTGTCCGTTGCATCAGCCAGGGGTAAGATTGTGGGAGGAGAAATTTTTGTAATATCTGGCAGAGGTTGTATTTAATAGCAAATAAAATGTGGGTTGTGACATTTTTGGACTTGAAATAGCTGGCAAAGGAGGAGTTCTCTCATTGTTTTTGAACAAAACTTTCGGTCCTAGAATAATAGTAAAACCTGGATGATTATATTTAAAGTCTAAAATTCCAAAACATTATGCTGACGATGAAAAAAAAACGAAATAACTCAGCGTGAACCCCTAAAGTACAATGACTACAGTAAAGAATGTTGAAAATGGAGGAAATAACAAGATATGAAAGGAGAAAAGAAATTTGACATCTCATTAAATTAGGAAAAATGTTACTGACGAATTCCACAATTCAGGTACAACATCCTTCAAAACTTCTGAAAAATCGCACCACTTACAAGCTCCCATAAGTAAAACACTGCACTCTCTCTACTATTCCACCACGGAGTAGAGCAATACTCGGTTTTTCCAAGCTGTCGCCACTGCAAGCGGTACATATCAATACCTGAAACAGACAGCATCCCAAGAGGCATATTCCGCGAGAACCTATAACATCCTACTTCTGCCAAACAACTTGCGGGGGAAGGGGTGCACAGCATACCTTGGTACAAGCCACAAGTTGTGATGTATTGAGGGCACACTGGGTAGCCGAGCCGATGACCTTGTTCTGCAGTGCTTGGTCCTCTGTCGTACTTGCCACGTTCTTAGCCTTCAAGACCAGGGCCGCTGTGGCATTGGCAACGGCCTTAGCCAATCCAAGCAGCAGATCCTATACGTGGGAAAAGCAAAATTGAAGCTCTTGTTTTATATGGGTTTGGCAAGAGGTGGAAAACCTCGTGTATCGATCACTGTAGGTACAATCAAGTCACCTTAAGTCTGTTCAATAATACTGCACTCAGATAAATAAAACTGGGGCTTCTGGGGCTTGATCCTTGTCGGGTGCAAAAAATTCATTGTACCTGGAATTTAGGGTCCATGTCACCTGTTGAGCCAATACTCCTGAGTAAGGCATTCTGGGCTTCACCGACTCGGTTAGCAGCACTCAAAAGATTCTGGCGTGGCTGTGAAATGAAGAGACATATTTATATGTACCGTATACGCTGCTTGAGCCAAATTTGCTGGTGATGTCGTACTACCATCTTGTTTTACAAGAAAAATGCAGTGCTCAAAAAGTAACGAAACTATTTGAGATAAATTTAAGAATTACGCTGGGAAAGACATAATACTCAAATTTTCTGGCTTTCCTAGCGACAGGGTTACAATCTTGCTTTACAGAAATAAATGCAACGCAATAAGTGCAATGTTGAAACAATTTTAAGGAAGACACAAGAGCAGATAAGGAAGCTTTTCAATTGTCTTGCTTTTTGAAAGACTTAAGTCCCTTCCACGTGAATCACCAATCTCCCTCAAAACTCAATCAGTCGCTTAACCCATATGATCTACCAATCCAAAACCAGCACTGGGTAGGTTCCTTTGGCTAACAAGATTTCTGTGTAGTTTACTGGATCTTCAAACTAGTACCTTACTTGTAATATGCTTTTGCCATCGTTCACAGTTGCGTTTCGAATTCTGCTCTTAAGTTTGGATTCTAATTTCATGTATGATAGCTTTTCGGGAAATTTCTACCCGAGGTGGGGATAATGGGACACATTTATATCCAGGCCATGAAGCACAGGTGCTAGCATGATACACCTTTTATCACTGCAACACTCCTACCTTAATCACCTGAAAAGTGCCAATGACAGACCACTCCATGAACAATCATCCCACACAGACTAACCTCTTGACTCTCAGGTTGGGCACACTTGAGGAGGTCAGAGAAAGCCCCCATCAGGCCCCTGGCTGCATCCAGGATGCTGTTACCGTCTCCTTCTTCCCCGAGGAGAGCAGCCAGCATCTTGACGCCCTTGGTCATCTCAGTCAGGTTAGACGAGCTGCAGAGCACAAGAACAGACGCAATCCAGGTCATTTTTCTACTTCTTAACCCCTTGACGACGGGAATATCTTCCCAAAAGCCGACTCCAAGAATTCCAGCCTCGCTTGGCCACGAAGGCCACCTGCTAAACCGCAAATTCTCGGTTTGTGGCCCTGCGTGCTCTGCACGCTTTGAATTACACGGTGAAAAGGCTGATCGTTTGGTGGCATGCGGCTCTACTCACCCTTCCACATTCCCGTTGCCTCTTTTCAAAGTGGGGACTATTGTGAAGCTGGTGATTATGATGCAAATTCGGTCTTTTCATTCCTGGGCTACGCACAAAGGCCAATTACCATATATACAAGAGCCAGGATCTGCCTTCTTTCACCGTGTTTGCTCGAGCGTGGGCCGAGAATAATAACTGAAAAGCGGGCTGAGGATCTCAATTTTTACGGCGTGTCTAGCCGCCTCCCGATGCGAAGGGGTTAAAACTGGGTCTTGCCCTTTGCAAATGCAATTTCATAGCTTCACCGTACACTCCAGTGTGTACAAGAGAAAGTGAAAAATGCAAACTCTGCAAACCTGTATGGGTTAAACTCAACCCAGGGCCTTCAAACTTACTTCAAGAATGTACCGCTGACCCTTACTTCAGTCGACATGAATAGAAATAATTCAAAAATCACATTAAACCTATAAAGCAATGATTTCATGTTATACCTTCCAACATGCTTTTGCCAAGAGACCAACTGTGAACATTGGTGCTTTGGTAAATTTTTGAAATTTCATGTACCAACTATGAAAAAGTTTGCTTCTCAAATATAGAGTAAATTAGCACAAATTGAAAAGAAACAGGTACTTGAAATACATCTCAGAGCAAATTATTCAGATGGGTAATCAGAAACTTTTCCTTTCTTAATGTCACTACTGCATTGGAAGCAAGATATGGGATGGACAGAACCCCCCCGCCTTTGTGTTGGTCACTGTTTGATCGGAATCTCAGGAATTCTTTACAGACTTTGGGGGGGGGGATGTGTTATGTAACAATAGTCTAGAGTGTGTATAGGGATTGGACAGGTAAGCGGCGGGTACCCCTCCGTCCCATATCTTGCCTGGTATACACGACTGCCCTTACATGGTGGTGATGTGAGAACCAACAGAGGTGTAGTCAGTATCGGAGGGATCGCCAGAGGTTTGGCTGATGATGCCGGCAGTGGCAGCCGACAAAGCACTCAGCTGGGACTGGATGTTCTGCTTGTTGACATCGATGGTGTTCTGACGCCACTGCTTAGAGGCCTGAGAAGCGAGCATTTGGCAAAGACAATGACAGCAAAACTCGAAGGTCCGATTGTTTGTTTACAACTCAAACTACATGCACAAGCAAGAGCAAAGAATTAGTGGATGTAGAAATGACGGATCCTCTGCTTTGCAGGGTCTTAGTTAACATCGATCTTAGGCCATACTTAAGACTTTATGACTTATAATTACATTTCACCACATTGTGTTCAAGAAGCCATCTTGGACTGGTTCCCTGAATACCAACCATAATTATATAGATTTCATAAATAAAGCCATCACTAGCCCAGCAGATTATTTCCACCTTAATCTTTCAAGGGGTACTAAGTCTACATAAACAGAAACAGGTCTGGCTCCACTTTATGGAATCCTCCAAAATCATCACCTGAACCTTCCTGGTAGATTTTGAGTGATCTGAGAGGGATAACCAATGTGATAACTAAATATAGCGATGGAAATATAGAACACAGCGTGATGTTTTCCATTTGCACACAAGGCAGCCACCATTCAACATGCTAATTTCTGACAGTCCACAACAACAAAAAAGGTCATTCGGGAAGAAGCCAAGGGCTAGGCATAATAAGGAAACACTCTCCCAATGCAGTAAGTGACATCATACCGAAAAGGGCAAGGTATCTTTGAAAAATTGCTCCGGTTTTTAATAGAGCTCACACTATCATGTGTTTTTTTTTCCCACTCTAAGTATTAACAGTTTTATAGTATACCACTGTGTTTGATTTCTTTTATTGTGAGGAGTATCCTTCATCGCCAGCATTGTATGGGCCTTTGGGCATTGTAATCACACATAAATTCACCCCCCCTCCCCCAATTATGAGCGGGTCTCCAGGGTCAGGACGGAAGAAGCTGCAGCAGCAGAAATGAATATGACAAACTACTTTGGCCTTTTGTTACTTACGGGATCGGTTCCAAGCGGCGGCAGCTCGGCCTTGGTCATGAGATCATTCTGGGCAGCGTCCACGGCGGTGAAGCCTCTCTCCACGTTGCCTTGGAAGGCTTGCTGGGCTGTAGTCAGTCCAGGTTGACGGGCTTGGCTGGGCTGAAGACAGAGACAGAAATCAGGAGATAATTTGATGTATTTTTAAAGGGGACCTGAATCTACAATCTGGCCGAACACTGTAAACATGCAACGTGTGACCAAATCAGCAGATGGTCAGCGGACTGATGTACAACTCAAATTGAATCATTTCTGTTCTTGCTTTTCATTTCTAGCCCCTGTCCACGGCTGTGGATGATACAACTGTTTTTACCAAAGGCAAAATAAGATCAAACAGCCTACACCCCACTGTCAGTTCCTTCCAAGTGTTCCCCCCCCCTCTTCCTCTCCGTCTCCCTCCCCTCCCCCGTGTTGTATAAATTACCACGGGTGCAGTGTGCGCCATGTTGGCTTGGCCTTTGGTGACCGCGTGCTGCGGGGGCTGCATCTCTCCTGTGGTGTAAGTGCCGGCTATGAAGACAGAAGCAAAGAGCTCAGTTTTCATAAAACTGTCACTGCAAACTACAAGCAAGCTTTAAATTCGAGCAAAACAAAAAATCATTTTAACATTCCACAAGAGCCTTTCCTCAGGAAGAAAACTTATTTCATAGGCCCCTCCCCTTATTATGCGGTAGCAGGATTCCAGTTGATTCAGCAGGTTTGGCATGTTTTGGACATTGTTTTATACCAAATAAAAACTTTTTTATTTTGCGAATACACAGGTCTGACCGGAAATCAGAGACTTTTTTTGGCATTAACTTGTTTCTCAACCAAAATGACATTTTACATGGACAGCAATAGACCTCGGAAATATTAACAGCACTGAAAGTCCTCTGAGGTTATTGACTCCTCAAACACTCTAATCGTCAAACCTAGCTGGCCTACAGCTCCCACTATTACCAGTGGTAGGTAGAGACATGATGGTTCCAATCAGCCTACCTGAGCCACCAGCCCTCATGACAGCAGGCAGGGCCACAGAGCCCTCTGATGCGTGGCCTGGCCGGTTAGTCTGGTGCTGCAGGAAGGTTGCCTTGGCTGGTGACACGCTGTCTTCCAGGAGGGTGGCCTCCTCGTCCCCTTCCAAGCCGATGCGGTCTTTGCCTTTTTGCTGATGGACAAAGACGAAAGCAACTTTAGATAGCCATCATCTCCTAACCACTGCATGCTCTGTACGTGTAGTTTTTACCTGTGCACATTTGCCTTCTTATGCAGGCATTAAGTTAAGTCTGCATCTGCTTCTATGTGTGTCAGCCAATGTGTGAGCATACTCCCGTAGAGATTTATGCGCAGTGCAGGAAGAAGATGATGATGATGAAGGTCCTTGTTAAAGGGACACTGACGACATGTCTTGACCTACACTTCTTACTTTACATCACTTTTCAGCCGCTTTCAAATTATGTCTGTAACTTACAGAGGTTGTGCATGGCAGCCAGCTTGCTGGTAATTACCTTTGTAATGGAGGGATCTAGCACAAAAGGTCTACTCATGTGTGTCCCAGTGGAACAGCTCTTACAGGAAAAAAGGTTACCATGCACAAGCTCTATGACATGGAATAGGTACCATTTAAGCAGTTACACCTCTAGCACCTTCACATGAAAGAGCACCATGACAGAAATTTCTGAAACCTTCAAGAAATTGTTAAATACATGTATGCGTGAATATGGGTAATACCAGAAATTAGGGGTCCATAGTTTTTGTGCATCCCTGTCACATCTGATATGATGTTGTAAGTTCAGAACACATTTTCTAATTTCCAACAGTGATGAATTCATGCAAATTACCTGCCAAACAAGTAGTAATAGTTTGAATCAATTCCGGTGATATTTCCATGTCAAATAACAAAGACCAGATGTAACAGGGACACAAAAATGTCACAGTTTGCACCCCTAATTTCTGGAATTACCCATATCTATAATAAGCCCTAATGAGCCCAACCTGGGATGTGATTCAGTGATGCCAAGCACGTACATATACATGTATTTGACTCATCTCACACATGATAGACTATTGACCATGGCTGTGTAATGTCACACCCCTACAAATTTTGGCATTGGCTGGGTTTTCTGAACTTAAGTCCAACTTGTATAAGCACAATACAGTAACGACACAGAACTTGTTTACAGTCAATTGACAACACTGAATTCAGTTTTAAAATACATGTACATTGCCTGTGAAACATTTAACAATAAGCTTGGCAAAAACGTAACACCACCGTAAGAAAGCTACATCTTTGCCAATATCTGAAGCTCAACAAACCTGTGGTCTAAGTCACTCAGTAAAGGCAATGGCACCTTTCATTTAAGCCTCACTCCCCAGCGTCTTTTACTAGGCAGTCAACAAAATCCATCAAAATCCAACACTCCTTGGGCAAACCACATTTCTTGCAAGATGGACTCTGTTGATGGACCTCTAACACAAAGCTTACACGCAAGCAGTGCTTCAGGGCTCAAGGACCAAGCCCGTCATAATCCCAAAAAAAATAGAACTGGATTTTGGGGAGGTTAGGGTTAAGGTGGCCACAGAATGAAACTGACCTTCTTGAGAATGATGTCAATATAGCCTGCGATAAGTGCGCCGATGGCCTCCCCTTCTTTGGTCTGTACCGAGTAGTAGGACTCAGAGTAGTCACCAAAGTCCAGGGTGAAACTGTTCGGGGAAGCAGCCCAACGACGTACTGTTGTCAACGGCCAGGTTTTCATGATCTGAGGACAGGAAGGGGAAAAGCAGAGCAAAGTTTGACCGAGAGATCTACACAAAGCAACGTGGTTCAACGCCGTTACTGGGTATTTCTCTGTACTGCCACAATCTAAAATGATTTAGAGTTGAGTAAGATTTGCCACTGTGCATAGAAAAGGCTACAATGAAGTAGAAGTTTGCGGGTACACAAAGTGGAATCAATTTCTTCTCTCAAATTCGAGCTACCTAAGCACTTGCAAAAAAAAAGAGAAATACTCAAGTTAACTTACAAGTTAACTTGGGTGGGACTAGAACTCACGGCCTTAACCTTCTCGTACTAATAAGAGGTAAATCATGGGTCCGATTGAGAACTGATTTCCCTGGGGCAGAAATTACTCAAATAGGTCACTTCAAACATCACGTCAACCTCCTTTACTTCAATTTGTAAGCTTCAAAATGAATTTATCCAGGTGAACACTTGCACCATTTGCTTGAAACACACACATTTGACAAAATATAACAATGTAATGACTGTGAATCTTGAATTAATCATAAAACTGGTGAAACTCTTTCATATACCAGAGGTATTTTTGTTGTCGTGGGCCGGGCAGTTACGTACTAACAATTAAAGTTTGGTAGATGATCGGCTATGTGACATACACTATACTAACATACATGTATTCACAAATTATGTGAGACCTGAAAGTTTCCTTTTTAAAAGTAAATCAGAAGCAAAAGCAACAGACTAAATTACTAAAGCCAAATGAGCACCAGCTGCTTTCTGAACACTGCCAGGATCTATACAGGGTTTGCATGGCTGCCATCTTGCAGGCCAGTGCTTTTTTCTACAGTGTGTGCACAATGGAAGTTTCCCTGTAGAACAAAAGAACTGCCCTACAAGATGGCTACCATACAAAGCCTCTACAGGTCTTTATTAGATTCATCATAGCACACAGCGCAGGGAGGAAACCTGTGAATGAAGAATGAATGGTTCTGAGGATTCAAACTGCCTTCATATCAAATAGGAAGGCGAGAACATCAGCTCAACTTACTTCCTTGGTCCTCTCATCCACACGAAGCACACTCTCCTTGGTGATGCCTAGCAACCGGGGGACCAACTTATTTTTACCCTTCATCTTTTCCTGCAATGGAAAAGGGGAGAAAAAGCTGAACATGAGGTTCAAATCTCAACAGCACAAACGTACATTGCAAAGTTATTAAAGGAACCCAACACTCACTAACAGAAGGGTGTTTACCTTGTCCATATTGACCCATTTACATTTTATCTACGACCATGCGACAATGGGCAATTTTGGCGACTGAGAAATTGGAGTCATGGAGTCTGTAGTACAAGGAAGAAAACGGACACGCTCTGCAGGAATGTGAAGGGATTTGGTTTGGAGTTTGCGGCCATCTAACAGCTTTGTGAACTCCCAATTTCTTCTGCTATTCAGAAACATGCCACTCTCTTATCAACGACTTCACTTCCTGACTTACTTTCACGAGGAAGAAGGTGATGCCGTAAGTCTTGAGTGAGCGACACAGCTGGGTATAACGCACCTTGGAGTCTAGCTCACTGACTCCAATCAGCTTAGCATGTTCCTGTGAGGGAAATGTTGCAGCATGTTTATTTCCTTCAGTTGAAAATCACTGGTCTGGTTTGTGCACAATCAGTAAATTCCTCAAACCAATGCCAGATAAAAAGAATCTCTGTTTGAGCTAAATTTAATCACTCAAAGAAAAAAATTGAAATGGCTATCTCAATACAACCAGATTATCTGCACTATCCACTGCTGTGCAAGCAATCTAGGGATTGCGCGTCACATTTTTCCACTGGTTCCTTACCATATTAAAAAGCTATCACCGAGCACCAACTGCAAAGGGTCTATTGCTATTCAGTCACTATCTAGACTTACCAATCAATGTATTGATTATTTGGTTGCATTTTTCTCTTTGATAAATCAAAACCCATTTTGTGAAAATGCATACCGGTAAGATAAATATACTTCAACTAAACTTCACAAGTCTTCACAGGTTCCTAACAAGCTTGTAATCAGTGGCTTGCCTCTTTTCGATAAAAAAAAAAGAAAAAATCAACCAAACTGATCTACTTACTCCAAAGATCCTCTTTTCTGCGCCCTTCAATTTCACGTACTCTTTAGGGAGAAAGTCTTTCAGACTGTGGAGCAGGAAAAGAATATTCAAGTCTTCACAGTAAACACTGTGTTACATACACACCTACAGATCATGCTCATGCACACCTACAGGTCACAAAATGTCCTTACTGAATGAACAGCATGGGCACATGCGGCAGTTTTCCTTCTAAAGGGGCACACGGCCAGCATTTTTATTTGCCCACTGCAAAAACAGAACACTTGTCCTGGCTGAATAGCAAAATGAGGCTACAAAAGCACTAGAGAGAGAGAGAGAGAGAGAGATTGATTCAGGAATTGTTGAGATGTTCTACTCAATGCTGTTATCATGTGCAGTAGCCCTTCCACTTTGGCAATCAAGAGCCTTTGCATTTGCATCCACTTTTGCATCTACAATCCATTTGCTGGCCCAGTTCTGTCTCTATCAACATCGTGATTTTGCTCTAAATTGCATGTATCGGTCGTATTCTGCTTCTCCGCATTATGCAACTTGTTGTAAAGCTGAAAAGTCAACCTAACAGAGCATACACGTACGTGAAGTAAGTTGTTGTTTCTAAATGCAGGCATGTTTTTTTGCTACTTGGTCAATTTCTAATCTTGGTATGTTTGAGCTTACTCAAGGAAGCCTATCTTGTGTCTTGACGGATCATGGTCGCCATAGTGAATCTGCATCTGGGTACCAGCCAGATGGAGAGCTTCCTCGTAGGAGCAAGGATGGGTGCCGTTGATGATGGCGTCTCGAGACTAGAACAGCAAAAGGAAGTATATAATCAGGACACAAAGTACAAACAAACTACAGGCTAATTGGTTTGTCCAGTCATTTCAAACAAGCACAGGTAAATACATGTTCCCCCTGCACACTAGAAGGAACATTTCCATAGGTACGTGTATATTTCCATATACTATACTAAGAAAAATGCAGCTCATATAAATGTTGTCTCCTTTAACTTAAAAAAAAAAGGCTCTCTTTACCATGGAGTTAAAAACGTGAGAAGCTATGACATCTTATTTTGAGCAGGACCAATGCTTTTGAGAGACCTTCAGCTGAAATAAAATATCACGCCTTGTAACTTATCAATTCCATGAAAAAGATATTAAAAAGTACTAAAAACCTAAAAACCTCGAATTTTTTTTTCAAACAACTTCAAGCATGAGAATCTTCCGACTCATCAGGACCAGTATCACCTACCGTTAGAATATGACTTAATTTGCATGAGGTATAAATCACTGATTTACCTGCACGTAGAGCAAGTTGAGTTGAACGGGATCCCTTTTATCGACATTCTGATCAGAGTAGAAGTATTTTCGGCGGAAGACGAGCATTTCAAACTCCTCCACGCCCTGCTCCCTCAGTGTCCTTGTGTGATCAAGCCAGTTCACTGCGCGACAGGAGGACAGCAGCCAATTTATGTAATACATTATGTTTTCAAGATTTGGGAGCATATTTTCTGAAGCGTCACTTAGGGATCAGTGTCAAGAGCCATGAAACAATATTCATACCTGTGAATGGGGACATCTTTTCACACTTTTTCTCTTCCGAGGGAATTCACTTTCATTTCTCGAGACGTGAAAAACCTTTCCCAGAGTGGAGAAAGATTTTTTTACAGATTTTCCCACTAGTGGGAAATTGTGAGTTTGTGAGTTTTCACAAAACTTCCCGTCCCAATTCAAAGTGTTAGCTTTCAATTGCTTTGCATCATCACCCCTCATTCTTGGAGGCTGACATCACGATAGTTCCAGAAACTCTCTTCAATCCAAAAAAGATGGCTTTCCAAATGCCCCTGAGGACTTTGACCTACTGCTGGCACATTCCTGACTTACTCTCATCATCTGTATGCAGTTTCTTTTTCAGGGTTTCCATCTTTTTCTCATCACGGAGTATAGATGACGAGCCCTTTTCCTGAAAATTGTAGACAGAAAAAAGGAAGTTTCATTTTCCGGCAGATTTATGTCTTGTGTTTTGAATAATGTCCCTCACATTACTCACTGCTGCCTGTATCTGCTAAAATAGTAAAACAGATCAAAATGGATGGGAAAAGTCGAACTACTAAAATAGAATCCTATACTTTTCACCCTCTTGATGCTTGTGAATGACAGACACTGATATGATGCAAAAATAAAATAGTTAGTTTAGGGCTTTAAAGCAAACTAAAAAAAATAGCGTCCAACTTTCAAAGATCAGTGTATCATTCAATTGCCCAATAAATGTTGACCGAGCACTTAGGATATTTACAGCACATGGAATATTCATAGCAATTGATTGTGAAAGGAAAGGCGGACAGAAGTGTTGAGGGATGACCAGGCTGATGCCTGAGGGAGACGCCATGCCAACAAACCTAGCAAAGAAGCCTCTTAAGATGACTTCTGGGGCACCCTACAGTGGGCTCCGTGACAACCTTGAGTGCCATCCTCAATGCAAGTGGCACATTGCTAACTTAAACCCACCTTCTTGAGAGTTGATCTGTTAATGGTGCCATCCTTCTTTTCCTCATCCGGTAGATCACGGCAAAGGGAGTACTCGTCATAATTTGTCACACCTGAAAACAACACAAAGAGTAATTTTTTAAAAAAGGAGTACGCTTATCACGTATTATCCATATTCTGATCTGTATACAAAATTCACACAAGGTCTTTAATGTACCAAAAAACCGCATTTGCCGCATACATGTGCACATTGACATGCAATTTGCTGGAGTTTACATGTATACAATCACTGCATAGTCATTAAGGTGTATGCGATAGCCATGTACATGTCAACCCACTGACAGGTCTACACTGAGCCACCAGCCTCTAAAACCCTATCAAATTGAAGTCGACGTAAAAAATCGGCACATTTTAGGCTTCAATGTGACCGAGCTGGGCACTTTAACAAAAAATGCACGTTCCTGTCAAATTCCCGAATTTTTATAGCTGACTTGTGACAGTCATTCCACCAATCAGAAGGCAGGTTTGTACTTACCCAGTCGAGTGCATATGGTGATCAGCATCTGACTGACTGTGTTGCTGTCATCAATCTGGACAATTGAAAGAAAAGAAACTTGGACATCAAAATGAAGTCATCTTGTCATCAAAATGAAATCACTGTAATGTCATCTTCTTCCCTCCCTGTTCTACAAAAATAGCTTTCAGAAAGCAACTACAGATAAGACTAATGATCCCACGTCAGTACCAAGTATTCCCATGATTAAGATGGAATGCCAGAAGGCAATTGTCAGAAAGCACTAATTTCATAACTGCTGGTATCGCTGTACAACGTTTGGTTATCAAACCAGCTACAAACAGGTGTGAAGAATGTGGCCTCCAATCAATCCTTGTCAAGTTCTCACATTTACTGCACCTGTACATTAACAAACCTGCCATTTTATAATTTCAACTTAGCTGTAACACAAAGGACTGGATAGGAACCATCACAAGGCACACCTGTAGTCTGCAAGGATACTACATTTCAGTTGTTTACAAAAAGGTATTCCATTATTATGGTATCTCCCTTTTGACGTTTTACTGTTTCCCCATCCGACATTTTGTCAGAATGCCATATGCTAAAAGAAAGATCCAAACTAACTTGGCAATGTTCACATCTACATGAACAACCTGAGCCTTGGGAGTTACAATTTGCAAAATCCAAAAGGTCTTCCATTACGCAGGACTGCTACAGGTAACATTGCATTTGTAACGAATGTTCATGTCGAAGCTCTCAATTTAACCAGGATCAATGACAGAGTCATTTTACTTGACTGCATAAAACAATGCATACACCTGTATGATTGGAATTACTCTGTGAAAGGATTCTTTCTGGCAAGCTGTCATTTTGAAGGAAACAATGAAAGAAGGCCATTTCTAATGATGCATCTAAAGCAATCATATTGGAACACAGGCAGATTGTTTTTAAAATCAGGAAGGGGATGCAAGCATTGGTGCACATACAGGTTCGTGAGCAGTTACTACAATTAATCTGTTCAGAGACACTGCTGAGTTGAAATGAGCTGAGTGAGAATGCGTTCGGGATGCTGAATTCGGGCGCAACTCAAACCCGACCAGGCAACTTTTCATTCAAAATCAAGATCCTAGATCTGTGTTTTTAGAATATATAATACTTGCATTCACTGAGCCAAAAAACGTCACCAGGTTAGTTCTTAGGCACCCTTTTTTACATTTTGAGCGATTTTGTTGCCTCCAAAAAAACAGTTTGTTGCCTTAAAAAACACAAAAAACGTAATGCACAAATGACAAATGATAGACTTTATCTTTAAATGAAGCTGAATTTTTGTAGATTGTTTCCTTGACTGTTTCGTCTAACTTTTTAACAGATAAACCCTAACCTCAAAATGCCTCTAAACCACTTTTTTCAGTCCACAGTCACGGGAGAAACCTTGTGCGGGAGTAGGTAAGTCCAGACATCTTCACTTCCTTTGTGGACATCATTTGTTCTCAGGTCTACTGTTACATGTGTAAAAGGAGTGGCTTACTTACAATGTACAGTACATGTACATGTGCACCCACACACACTGGCAGTATGCATGTACATGTAGTTGTGGGGATTTAACCAACCAATTTTCCCAGCCACATACATATACATATCCCATACTTGTACCACTTCTAACATGTCTCATGGTCCCTGGTATACCGTACATGCACAGGCACATGTTCATGTTCATGTGCCTACGCAGATGCAGAACAATGGATCCAACATCAACGCCCACTTCTAAAATGATTAATGAACATTGTGCGTGCACATTATCAAAAATGTATTAAATGCACATCGGAACGCAATACGCAGTGAGGCTCGTTAAACTAGATAGCAGACCACACTAAAAAGCTATTCAATTGAAACTAAAGATTCTTGAGAAAAGTCATGGGCTGACATTCACATGCCAAGGATGATTAAGGCAAAGGAAGCCACGTTGCATTTGTTAAAGTAAAATCAAATGGAACTCAAGCCACAAAAAAAAATTGACTTTTGTTCAAAACCAGCTTGTACATGTACCGGTATTTCAATGCTCATCAGGAATACAGTGTGAAAACATACATCTATAAAAGCCCAAACCTGACATGAAATTAATATCCTTGACACAAAACAATGGTAAATGAACATTGTGCGTGCACATTATCAAAAATACATTAAATGCACATCGGAACACAATACACACTCTTAGTGAGGCTCATTAGACGAGATAAAAGAGATAGCAGACCACACTGAAAATCTATTCAATTGAAACTAAAGATTCTTGAGAAAAGTCGTGGGCTAACATTCACACGCCATGCAGGGATAATTAAGGCAAAGGAAGCCATGTTGCATTTACCAGATAAAACTCAACTGGAACTCTAGCCACAAAAAAACAAATTGAACTTTGTTCAAAACCAGATTGTACATGTATTTCACTGCTCGTCAAGAATACAGTGTGAAAATATACATGTACAAAAGGGCAAAACCTGGCACGAAATTAACATCCTTGACGCAAAGCCAGATTAACTTCACTGACTAGTCACAATGTGTTAACTTTATACCGTAATACTGTACATGTGCTGTATCATACATGTATGTACCATTCCGTTGAATCCATGAAGGATACACCTTGCACGAAATAAAAGTGGTCAGGACTAAACTTGCCAAAACAACAACCTGAGACACCTTCTTGTATTGGACAGGAAGACAGATATATAGTGTGACACTGATAACTTTCACAGTACCGTACACCGAGGATGCACAGCATGCTGGATGAAACTTGGAAAGGTGAACCAGGCATGGCCAGGGTTTCAACTGTAAGTTGTCAAAAAATGTTGCCAAACAGCAAATACACTGTACATGTACAATGTACATGTGCACTTGTTATTTTAATGTGTCATACCGAGCACCTGGCCAAAAAAAGTACAAGCATTGTATAAAAAAAAAAACTTGACTTAAAAAATTAATGACCCCTTCCAATAATATGTACAGTGTACGGTCTGCCAGCCAAGGAAGATCCAGAGCCAAGCTTTTCTGGGAGGGCCAAACTTTTTTTTTGGGGGGAGAGATTTTGAAATTTTGGTTCATGTGTCCATTTATGGCCTTTCTGAGGGGTAAAGTTCCATTTTTACAGATTTTTGCATGCTTTTGAAAGGAGGGAAATTAAAAGAGACCAAGAATTTGCCTTTCATCATTTAAAGACAAAATCACTCCCTGGGGGGGGGGCTGCCCCTCGACCCAATTTCCCCTCCGGAGATCCTCCCTTGTTTAGTCAGTCTGCCACTGTGGAGTGTTTTTCCCTTCTCCTCTGGGAAAACCTACATGTACCCACTAACATGTACCGGGTATGTAAATTTCCGTAACTTCAAGGATGTGAGGTCCCACATCCTCACCACTGTCTGACCAGCCTTGGGGGGGGGGAGCCTACCTACCCACAGCCCACAGCACAGTCCTGTTCTGTGTAAAATGCACCTGTTCAGAAATCTGCACGGGTATTACAGCATTATCGCCACTGTAACACGGTCCAGTAAAGTTACTGGCACCGCAGTTACCCACTATTAATAAACTGACTGGTCAATTTCACACAAAACAAAGTAACGGGGCCAGCAAGTTAGCCTCAAGTTCAGCATGTTTCTCTGATAGTTTTGCGTTCTGCTTTGTCTTGATTTCTTGGTGTTCATCCACATGGAAGCTCAAACTGGATTGAAAGCACAGAGTGATTGATGCTTTGAAGACAAATCAACGTTCATGGCACTGCTAAAACTGACTGTTCCACCCATTCTTGACTGCAAAAGGGAATCACAGCTTTGTAGGAATATGAAGTTCACTCACCTTACAGCCTGTATGCTGATTTGCGTTCATATGAGAGTTGTAACACTTGCCCGAATGTTAAACCATTGGGGGAAACACTGCTAACCTGACTGATCCCGAGGCTTAACTGCATTTTGCGCCATACATGTATGCATCATCTGCTGTGTTATCTCAGAATATGTGAAAATGTGGCAAAAACACAGTAAATGATGAAGATTTGTACATGTATGTACATGTATGGTTTTACCTTTTTCTGGTCTGGTCTATGTTCTGGAGTAAATACACGTACATACTGTACATGTAAATAGGAAATATGCGGTAAATTTCCTCCGTACCTGCGTACAGGAACATAAACCATTTCATGGTCCCCCACATCTGTGCCTGATCACTAGTTATTCTGTGGCAAAGGAAACCAATACAATGTGCACATGCCACAGAGGTCACTGAAAATGAATAGGAAAGAAAAATGGATATGAAAGGTCGGGACAATAATGGCCTAGAGTACACATACAGGTGCATGGGTTTATGCACAAGTGCATACATGTACACGTACATGTACTTACTGGGTACATGTGTAATCCTTCTCTAATTCGACACTTAAATGAAAATAATAAAAAACTGGGGCCAATTTCATAGAGCTGCTTAAGCACAAAATTTGCTTAAGCGCAAAAAAAAATTGCTTAATAAAACAAAGGTTGTCAGCTTAAAATCTATGTGATTTTCATGCTAACCAAAAGACAGGTGAATACCGTTCCAAAACAATTATACATCACGTGGAGATTTGGCTGGTAACCTGATTTGACAAGCAAGGTTTTTTCATGCTTAAGCAAATTTTGTGCTTAAGCAGCTCCATGAAATTGGCCCCAGGTCTTATAGCACATAATAAACAAAATTATTTCTGGGTGGCAAACCAGCGTCTTGAGCTGTGATTTGAAATGTTCCAGGGATAGACTGATATTTGTGTAATGATGTAGTTTATTCTACCTGAGATATACATACACGTACATACACATGTATTTAATGAAATGCTTGTGGATTACAAATTGTACATGTATTGGTATATTGGTATAAACCACCTGTGTAGACATATAAATGCATAAACCACCAGATCCTATTCAAAACTACAGGAGTATTCCATGATCTGCGCGGCGCCCGACTAACATCAAAACTATGGGCAAATTCACCCCTCAGTATAGGGAATTTATGCACAGCTGAATTCCAGCCTTAAAATCATATGAAGCCATTTTTCAATTGTAAAAAATAAAAATCCTCTACATGTATTTACTGCGTGTGCGTAGATTCAAAAAAATGCGGTTGCAACATCTGAAAAGAATAGATAGCAGTACCGAAGAGCAAAAAAAGTTAAAGTATTTTGGGAGGCGATGTAAATAAATGTAGGCATTGTAAGTGCGTTGCGCGTAATGCGCACTGAATGTGCGCTGCCATCCATCGTTCACCTATTGTTTGCCCACAGATGTACTTTTCAACATCACAGTTATACGCGCAAGACTGGTGGTCTATGTGTTTATATGTCTGTGGTATGAACTGTCCATTCAGTTTAAATGATCTTTTGAGCAGGAGCGAAGGTGCCTTGCTGGACGGCAATCAGTTTAATACCATGAATACAATACATGTCTGTGAGAACTAAAAGCTTGACGATGATTCGGGATTTCACCGGTACCCAACACAGTTCATAAGAAAGGAGCCACACTGGTAGCTACATGTACATGTACGCTCCATTGATGCCATGCACATTTGCATGTGCAGACCGACCTCAGTATACTGAACAGACGCACGGGATACTGTACAGAGCAAAACGCAGTGTCTCAGAAAAATGCAGCATACGGGCTCACTTAGTTTGGTGCCTGGCATAGAGTAACTGTCCAGGGAATAAATGACATTATAAATGTCAGCAATACACTTGGGTTGTTTATTTTTCCACATACATGTACATTCTTCCCCCCCCTCCCACACACATTCTATTTCTTTAGTTCTCACTCATTCACAACTTCGCCATACAACCAGAGTTCTTTCATCAAGACATATCCCTCACACTCACCTGGAGGTAAACACAGAATTGAAGAAACACTCATCCAAAATTTATTATCCCAGCAAAATCTGCCATTAGGTATCAATACTATCCACCAGCCATTATTAGATGACTCTGTCCTACATCCAGGCCCTCTGCATTCCTGAGTAAACGTTGCTTGTTTGCTCCCGGTAAACATGAAAATCAATCACACCACAGCTGCCTCAGCAGAATAATTAGGGAGACACCAAGAGTACAGGCAGAGTATATGCAGATACAGTAACGTACATTGTACATGTACGTGTGTTGCGAGTGTGTATGATTTACCTTGACAATAATTTCATCTTCGTACCCATCAATCAGATTTGATATCGATAGGGTAATTTACCAGCATCCATGACCAAAAGCGACCAAAGTATTTTACTGAGGTTTTACTTTCACTCAGCAGTACTGTACGTATTTCTCCGCGCCAGGATCAAGCGCTGGTTTAATGTGTTTGTGCAAGCCCATGTATACCAGTCCAAGTGGTTCATTCATGTACAAGTTGCAGACACGTGCAAATGCACTGAAAACGTGTATGCAATAACATTGCTGGGAAAGTTACAGACACAGCACAATAGTATGATGCTCCACGAGCCAATTCAATGATTTGAACAGTGCACTCTGTACATTGTTCATTAGTTTCACATGAAAAAAAATTTCACTTTCTTCTAGATTTAAGAATATAGAAGAGAATAATTTAACAAGTCATTTTGTATCTTTACTCAACGTAGAGATTATTAATTTTTCCCCAATACTTTCACTTGGCTCTTTTTTAATGAGACTTAAGACAGGAACCTGTCTACATGAAGGCAGCTCAGCTACCGTAATCTTGTTTCTCTGGCAAGATGCGATGCCTTATTCAAATTTAATTAAGTCGTGGAGATGAGAAAGGTCCGCTCTCATGCAATATTGAGTCAATATTAGTTTAGACGGACCGTAACGGTGCACAGAAAGGTTCACCTGTTTCCATGTACATGTACCTGTACTTCACTTGAATGCTGAGATGTATACAAAGCACAGCTAGAATACTCGTGAAGTACATGACATGGTTGGAAGAACATTTTGTAAAAGTTGACATTGTTGAACACAGTGCAACTCTTCATGGCAGACCTCTGAATAAATGTACCTCCCCTTTTCAGTTTCAATGTTTGGTGGCAGTTTGTTCAAAATAAGAATAAGAAAAATAAATTCAAGAGTGAAAATGGTAGCTTTGTTACACAATTCAACAACTTTCAACATGAAATATTACATGGCTGCCAACTATTTGCTGGCTAAGGTGACCTGCAATTCATGTACAGACGCACAAAATATTAATGGAGTTAGATGGCTGACTTCTTGACCCTAGCAGGATCTTTCTCACTTTTTTCTTTTGCCTTCCAAATAGATTCTGCAAGAATCAAAATGTCCGGCCCAATAACTTTTTTGATTAAATATCTTGTGAACAGTATCGCTGCATTTCTTAACAACCAGGCCTTAGGTGTGGTATTATTTTTGTCCAACCACCTCCACATTCTCAAACCACAAGTCGCCATATATGGCCACTTTTCACGATTTCGTGGGAGACCACACACGCTGGCCCTTCAGAGTTATTTGTGCAAGATATGTACATGTATGACGTTTCCTAATATAAAATCCAACTACACTGTGAAAAAATGCGAGAGGCGAGTCATGGCACCTGGTAAGGTTTTTGTTTTCGTCACCCCAAAAGAAAAGCATATTGTAACAGCACTCACCAACAATGTTTTTTTGGAGCCATCCAACATCTTGACCTTCAGAGGACGGATCTTCTTGCGGTACTCCAACAAATCCTGAGAGTAACACACAAACTTTCCAATGCACTATTTTTATATATGTACATGTACACGTAAAAATGCCCGCAGCAGAACAATATTTGGTTATCTGCTTTAAAAAAACGGGCCAAAATGGATCAGCGTTGTCCAAATGTATTCACAAAAGATTAAGGACAGTAGATGCAGCCATTTTTTCACCAGCAGAGAGCCTTGTTAAAGTAAAGTACATCTCCGAACTATGACGCATTCAACTGCTGCACACTGTGAATATATGTCTGTACCCAATAAAGCTGAACTTGCTTTAAGGTCAAATTTTAGTGCTCCCAAAATCAATCACAATCAGAATTCTTGATGTCACAAAGAACCAAGGTACACAGAAGGGTGCTCAACGTAAATGCCTCAAAGGTTCTGAACAAAACGAGGAATCACTTGCACTGAGAACACCTGTCCCAATCTTACCCCTTGCCGAAGGAGATAATGCTCCAGCGTCTTTCCCGACTCTAGCCACACTCCCTTCTTGGGATCATCATCAGCAAGGAAGAGACCATACTCGTTGGCTGAAGTAAGGAATAAGACCAAACTGGATGTATCCAATATCAACATACTGTGCCAGTATTTGAACTTGATCAATGGTTGGGGTATAAAAAAATGAAGACGAAAGCGGGACGAGACACTCTT